TACTATTTGTTAATGAAGTACCGACTTTATTTATTGTGAAAGAATTTATTTTTAGTAATAAACACTGCAACTATATTATATATAAAATAAAGATATTTTACAAGCCTGCTGTTTACTTGTTGACATGATGTAATAACATGTATAAGTATAAAAGTTTAAACTCACCAAAAATACCCCCCCCCAAAAAAAAAAAAAAAAAATCATTATTCTTTTTTTTCTTCATTTATATGACTGGTTACTGATAAATCAATATATATAGATATATGTGTATGTGCGTGTGGGTAGATAAAATAAATGCGTATATATATTGACCTATTGATTCATAGGTTATTTAATAGATAGATTGAAAATAGATATATAAGCTAATAGATGAATAAATAGATTAATATATAAACATATACCTATACATCTATAACAAAAAAGGAAAAGTGTATATATATATAATATATGTGTTTGTTTGTATATGTATACAATGTGTGTCAGTAACTGCCATGACAGTTCAGCGATGAATAGTCGGTCATATAACCACTGCATTTTTATGACATTATTCACCAATTCTGTCGCTCCGTCACCCACGGCCAGCCTGTCGGGGGTCGAACAGGAATGACGTCACGAGTTTAAAGATCACGACGCGCAGTCTGAAACGATACATTTGAAGGGATTTCAATGACGTTTTGGGCAGACTCCTGGAGAAGATTTAGGTGTAAACATGTCTTGCATTCATGACTCCTTGGTTTGTTAATGCAGTGACAATACTATTTATTATGAAAATATTTTTGTGCAACTAAAATACTAAAGATATTTTTACACACCCACTGTTTTTATACTGCAATAAATGTACAAAGATCATAAAAAACACAAGCAACACATGGATTAAATCACGTGAAACTAATAAAAAAAGGAAGAAAGAAAGAAAGAAAACAAGCCCATCGGGAATGCGGTTGAAATCCCCCTATCCCCCCCCAAAAAAAAACAAAAAAAAAAACAACAACAGAAATCCAAAGGGAGGAGAAGCAATCGCAGGAAAAGCCTAAGAAAACATGTGATTGTGCGTTTGTGAATCGCATGTCTGCTCTGGAGGTCTGTAGAACTCCATGTATCACTATTCAGGGATTTTGTTTTTTGTCTTTGACCCTCCATTTATTTGTATAGTTACTCCAATGCTTTGCAATGAGACACATACATATAATGAGATCATACGCTTATTGCAACACGTGATCACCTCCGGTTCGAAGAAGGCTTTCGTGACGTCATTCATTAGTGTCACGTTTTTGACGGGAACTTGGCTGATTACGTTGTTAGTGATCACTCACATGGGTACGTATATACATGCATATATATATTTGTGTGTGTGTGTGTATGTTTGTATGTATATATATACACACATGTAAAGAGAGAGAGAGAGAGACATAGATGGATAGATATAAATAGATGGATGGATGGATACAATCACACACACACCTATATATATATGCGTGTGTGTGTATCTGTATATATACATATATAGACATAGATAGATAGATATAGATAGATGGATACACATACATACGCGCACATAAACACACACAGAAATATATATATATATATATATATATATATATATATATATATATATATATATACGTATGTATGTATGTATATGTACATATATATGTGTGTATATATATATGTATACATATATGTATATATATATATGTATACATGTGTATATATTTGTATATATACAAATATATGTATATATATATGTGTATACACACACAGATATATATACATACATACATACATACATATATATATATACACACATATGAAAATCCCCTTTCGTGACGTCATTGTTGTCACTGATCTGACGTCATCAGTAACGGTGCTTCTAGAAACCGTGAACGTATTCCTGCTGAAGAAGGTGACTGTTTCTTTACAATTGCTTTATTTTTGCTTTGATGGCTCTGTGAATCCTAGTGTTACAGGAGATACTACTCACAATACAAAGCACATTGTGACTCTCGGGGAAATATGAGTATGGAAAATAAGCCTTATCTGCCAACCCTCTGGCATGAAATATACAAAAACACGTGATGAACCGGAGGAGTAAAAGGGTGGACGGTAGAACAGTCAGGCGAGGTGCCATGTGATACCCTCATCATATGTAATAACATCTAGTTTGTGAATCTCTATTGGCGACCACGTTCTCGCAAAATATGTGTTTACATGTGTATATGTATACACATACATACAAGCACGCACACGCACACACACACATATATTTATATATGTATGTATATACAATTGTGGATATATAAACAAACGAACAGTGTATCATTAGCAAGTAACAAGGAAACCCACGGAACTTTAATAAGGAAAAAAGTCTGTGTGAATACAGAATTGTGTGTTTAGGGAATATTGTAATTGCTTCCCGTCAAATCACGCCGTGGAAAAAGTTTTCCGAGTGACTCATACAGGACCTGGGTCGAGGGGCAGCCGACCAGTGCCGGTGTGTATGTAGGTTCTGTGGGAACTGTAGCACTCCCAGTTTTCCCTCAGTAACATACAGCACATTTAATTCATTCTCTCTCATTATTTCCTTACACGTTTACATTACATTTACAAACATCATCAATAATCCCTAAGCTTAATGTCAGTAGCCATTTCATTCATGAAAATCTTCAAGAATCCTTGAATGAAACTGTGTACTCCGCTGAGCCAGTGACGCCGTCGGGGGAGGAGCGGGCCGGAGTGGGAGAGAGAGCACTGTTGTAGTGACCAGTAAGGTTAGATTATAGTGTCAGACTTTGACACTTACACTATTCACTGGTTAATTACCTTTACTGAGATATGAAGCACTCTCCGAGGGCACGGTGGGATTGGGATAAATATCGTTCATGGAATTTGCGTACATCAGTATATATCTAACCCTTTTGTTTCCCTAATGTTACGTTATGTACACAACGGGGTCAACTGTACTGCGAAATTTAACACTCCCCGTGTGGAAAATCAAAAAGGAGCCTGGGCACAACTCCTCGCTACAAAGAACATTACTACAAAGAGAAACAAACAAACACATAAAACTAATATTCAATAAAAGAGCTTGGATATATATACATAAGTGATAAAAATATAGCAAAGCCAGCATATACTGCTGGTGCACACATAACTTATCTTACAAACAGGGTGTGCCTCGAATCCTCCGTCCGTCACCGTAAAACACCATAAGTTTAAGTACAAGGAACAAGGCTCGACTACGGCCTCTCTCTATACCTGCAGCAAGGATTATCCTAAGCAAGCAGTCTTCCGCAAAGGATCTCTGGCTTACTGCTAGAATAACCCCTGGTTTTAGCCAATTAACCCGTGGATTGGGAGAGAGAGAGTACCTGTAGCCCGGGCCGTGCGAGCGTGACTCCCTTGTCTATCTCCCATACCTCTGTCGTCGTCTCAGAGGCGGGAACAAGCAGTTATGTGATGGAAGTTCTGGAGGCTTATAATATAATAAGATCAAAATATCTCTCCGTGTACAACTTAGGGCACTAATAACGAGGTATAAAAAACAAACAAAGTATATACATTCATGTTATTAAAAGAATAAAATAAATCGTCGTTGTGACGTCCATAAAATTATGCGGTTCTCGCCTTTGAGAAAAGTTTATTGTTCCGGGAAAGACTAGCATAACTTCTCTCTTTCTCTCTCTCTCCTTCCTCCCCTTTCTCTTTCTCGCTTCGCTTGTACTAAACCTTCAACCGGAAAGTGAGAATTTTCAACATCTTGCACTGTAAACACATACAAGTGAGACTTAATTAAAGAAGGGACTCATTTAGATCAAACTCTAAACAAGACCTTTTAAAGATAAATTCCTTCACATTTGATAATCCCGAATGCGATATGGCAGTGCAAAGAATAAACTCTCGAAAAAACGTTTTATTTCTGTTGGAGCAACTGGACAATGAAAAAAAAATTGTTATAGTCAGTGACCTTTTTGAAAACAGAAGGTACACGGTGAATGGCGTATGGTTGGATCTATACAGTAAAGATGATGGCGGATCTAAGGAGGGAGGGGGGGCACCGGGGTACTAAAATATGCAAATAATGATGAGGAATGATGGTAATGATAAGAACAATGATAACAATGATAATTATCATTGTTATCATTATTGTTATCATTATTATCATTATTATTATCATCGCCATCATTATCATTATTGCCATTATGGTTATTATTATTATTACTATTACCATTATCATTATCATAATTATCATTGTTATTAGTTGCGGTGTTATCATTTTCATCATCACCATTATCATTAGTATTACTACTATTATTATCATCCTCATTGTTGTTAATATCACTGCTGTTTTCTGTAGCTCCGACATTTCTCTCTAATTCGGTGATACATTTATCGAACATGGAATTATAACCTTAACGTAGTCTTTCTGTGTATACGTTCCCACGTACTTTTGTACGCAAGGTCCATGCAAACCACATAGCTTCGGCCACCATGTAATAAACAGGATGTGACTACGGACTTGCTAAGGTTTTCGGGCTTTCCATCGACTCCAGGGAAGATTTGTGTGATCACAATTTACAAACTAAATCAAAGATTACTGCTTTAGAATATTGATTTCAACACGTTGATGATTGTGTGAAATTCCTGAGATTTTCTTTTATAAGACAATGCTAACTGATTGTTAATTTAGAATCATTTTATCAATCAGTAGAATGGAAACATTTGTTGTTCTTCCTAAGTATCACACAACAAAATATATTGCGTTAACATTGCAACAGTACTGTTGCAGCATCAAAATTGTCCCTATAGTTGATGATGATCATTATTCACTTTTGTCACTACTGCCTTTGCGTCTTTGTTCTTTGTTTTATATAATTTATTTGACGATTATGACGAGGATAACTTAAAACACATGAAATTGTCGATGAAAATAGAACTATATTCTATATTTATTACAATAAATAAGCAGATTCATAAAACGACGTAAAAGAGGAGTGCCGCCCGCGTCAGGCGCGTCGGCCGCTGGGTCGGTCGAAGTGCGCGATGAGGCTGGACACGTCGGGTCGTCGAGCGTTGATGATGTCGATGATGTCGGGTCTGAGGGCGGCGCTCCCCACCAGGAAGCCGTCCAGGTCGTCCAGCTGAGCCAGCTCTCGACAGTTGCTGGACGAAACGGAACCTGCGTAGATGATTCTGGTGCTGTTGGCCACCTTGTCGCTCACGTTGGCACGCAGCCACTCTCGAATGTTGGCCAAGGCCTCTTGCACCTGTGCAGCTGTGGCCAGGACGCCGGTATTACTGGCCCACAGAGCCTCGAAGGCGATCACCACACTAGACCAGTTGCTGATGCTGGCGGCGAGGGACTTCATCTGGCCCAACAGGACATCCTCCGTGCGACCCTTCTCCCGATCCTCCGACGTCTCGCACAAACACGCGATTATCTGATGATGGACAGAAGGCAGTTAGATCATTCATGAACACTTGGAAAAAGAAAACTCCGATGTGTCTCATTCGAGTCCTTTGATAGGATGCCATTAAGAGCGAGAGAAAGCGAGGTAAAGGCTCACCTTGATGCCAGCCTGCTGCGCGTGTGCGACCTTCTCGGCGATGAGTTGGTCGGACTCGTTGAAGATGGTCCTTCGCTCAGGGTGACCCAGGATGACCCACTCGCAGCCGGAGTCCAGGATCATGGCGGGAGAAATCTCGCCGCTGAAGTTACCGCGGGCAACCTGTTAAAGATATTTAATAGAATAAGATTTCTGTCATATGACAGTTCAGAATACAAGTTTTCAGTTTTATTCTTTAGACTAGACTTTTAAGTAATCGTCATTTCTGTTATATTTTGGAAAAGGACAGCTTACCTTATAACAGTTCTGTGCGGCAACAGCGATCTCGCCAGGGAGTCTCTGGCGGGCGTATGACAGGTAGCAGGAAGGGCAGCCAACCACGGCCTCTGTTTGGGACGACCAGATTTTTAAAAATCACACGTATATCAAGTTGATATATTGTACAACAAACATAGCACTGTCAGCTGAATAGTAATTATGATAAGAGACATAAAACTGACCTGTGTTCGGGTCCAACGAGGCCGCCGACATGAACTTGACAATGTGGTCGATCCGGGCTTTGTCTACGTTCATCTTCCAGTTCCCGATCACGAAGAACTTCCTTTGGCCAGACATTTTCAATTTTTTTTTCTCTCTTTTTTTACAACTTAAACACCGTCGTCTTCTTTAGCTCTTGTTATCAGGAGCGACGTATAGCTTCTGATAGTCTCAACAACAACAATTCATTTTATATGATTTTTCACCGGAAATGGGACGTTCGTGGCATGACGTCATATTTTCTTCCCCTGTTTTATACACTTTTTTCACGTCATTTAAGGAAGATAACGATTTTTAAATAAAATAATATGTTTGACTCATTCCATTCTAAATTAACTGATTTATTAAACTATGAATTATAGGAATATAAGTTCTGCATGATGTCAATTTAAATACATAAAAATGAGATTATTATCGAAATGTTCAGATTATCGAAATAATAACAGTGATGGTTATGATGAGAATATAATTATAATATAAAAAAATAATACAACAGTGATAGTAACTATAACTACAACTATTCATAGAAGAGTAATGATAATGATGAAAATAATAGTGACTGATGATGATAATAATGATAACAAAGATAATAGTAGCAATGATAATGATGGTGATAATGATAATCATAATAATGATAACTATAATAATGATGATAATAATAAGGATGATGATAGTAATGATAACAAAGATAATAGTAGCAATGATAATGATGGTGATAATGATAATCATAATAATGATAATAAAAATAACAACAAT